CTTTGACAGGATGTACTGAAAAAAAATGCCTACAAAACCTGTTAAATTTATAAACGTTTACTCTATGTTTATCTTATTTAATCCTATCAATTTAGAGAGAAGGTGTAAGTGACGTAATGAAAATAGAGAGAGCGAAAGTCTTTCTGTTTAGATATCAAGTGAGTTGTAGATGAGAATAATGAGGCAGAAACATGCTATATATTACAATTAATTAGCGAAGAAGACGGAGAAGGAAATAGATCAAAAGAAAGATAATAAAGGGAATGCAAACAATCATTTTTTCTACTTTGTTTTTTCTATTGGTATATATTAAATGCCCATTTTCATTTGCTAGAAAAGACGAAAAGAATAAGTTCGGAAAGGATAAGGAAATGAATAAGAAGATACAGCCAAAAAATACAAGAATAATAGAATTATGTGAGATAGAATAAATATTGTTTTCAGAACTTTGGGAAATTCCTTGAGCCTCGCTAGAAGAAGCACTTTTGGAAAGATCTTTAGAAATTATCGGCCGAGAAACTTTCGGTTGCATATATATGTGTATAGGCGTGCGCGCGGGAAATTAATTATTTATATCACATAGGAATCAGAGAAACTCTACTTTTATTTACACGCAAGCTTTAATATTAACATACTTTGATATTTGACAATATTCAAGCATAGCGGTCTTCAGTTTTCAATGAAGTTCATTAGATCAATTCTAGTCACGAACGACGTCATTTCATTTTGCCTACGGGCCTGCCAGGGAGAAGCAGAAGGAACTCAAAACTGAATCTGGCGTCTCGGCACCATTTTACACTCACGCTAAACATTAGGGTCACTGGTTCTCTCTAAAAGCATTACGGATTTCAATCATGCAGTTAAAATTTGTGACAGTTGCGCTTAAGTATGAAACAGTCCGTCGCCATCCTGTGATAATACCTATGTCGTCACCGCTTATATTTGCATACACGCTCCCATGGTATTGAACCCTTTTCTTCCACAAATATTCTTCTTCTATTCACCGTATCTCTTCATGGCGGGAGCAATTCTAGCTCGTCTCAAAATACCATAATTTTCCGCTCTTTGTAATTTGCATATTTTTCATAATCTCTCGTACCTCCTGATTGCCAAGCGTCTTATTTAGTCTTCTCACTGCTTTCCTTTATTCTTCTGGACTTAAATGCATCATGTGAGTGTCAAATTCTTGAAGCCCCCTTTCCTCGTCTTTTTCCCATAATTTTCAAATGTCTCTTTCTGATTCAAAATACAAGCGTCATGTTTGTTTTGATTTTCTTAAAATCTTTCTCTTAACTGATACGTTCAGTTCATGGTATTCTCAGAATCCTCCTGTAGTTGTAACTTTTGAAACTGACCGTAGAGGTTATTTTCGAAAATGCCCGAAGTGGTTATTTTCAAAACTGTCTCTAGTGGTTATTTTCAAAACTAAAAGTCGTGATTATTTTTGAAACTGACCATCGTCGTTAATTTCGAAACTGGACTTAGTGATTATTTTGAAAATTGGCTGCAGTCGTTATTTTCGAAACTGACAATCGTGGTTAAAATTGACATAAGCTTCAAACACAGCCTCCGGACTGGTTTGGAATCTTCTGAATCTCTCCTGAGCAGTACCCTTGTTTATGTTGTCGAATGCTGCCATAATTCTTACCTTCAGTTCATCTTTGGTGCTACAAGGCGTTTTATTGGTCTCTCATTTAACTGTGCTCTACACATAATCAAGTGGGGTTGCAATCTGTAGATTAATGTGGCCAGATGTAAGGAATGATCTAGTCGCAGAAATTGTCTGACAGGCATGGCTGGGATCTCCTGTTTGTGTGGCATGGTATAGATTTATGTTGCCAAAAATAGGGTCATCCAACAGCCAGCATCTTGGCTCAAGGCACCACTAGCACCTCAAGGAATTTGATGTAAGCCTCCGTGTTGAGTCAGAATGTTCATATTGAGTTTTCCGAGCCGTAGCTTCGTAATCACCATTAGACTCATCTAACTTTTTTTCAATCATCTGCACTGTCCTCAGATTGATACCCTGGTACGAATGCTTCAGAATTTTTGGAGGAAAGAATTGCGTCATGATGTTCTTTTTGCCCAGTTGACCCTAATATAGAGTACACAGTCGACAAAATCCAAAACAAAATTTACCCATCACAATCACACACACACACAGTCGGCTGAAAAATTCATAGCCTAATATAAATGCTGTTGCATTCTGGAACGCTATTCTCGGCTACCAACTGATGTGTCTACGTAAATTGCTATCTTGGTCATGCCTGTGAACATTTCAGCCAACCCTCGTATTGGTGATGCCTCTGTAGAGTAGACGGACATGACCGCCTACGAATCACTGGAGGACGGATACTACTTAAAGTAACCTCAAAATTTTACATATATATATATATATATATATATATATGTGTGTGTGTGTGTGTGTGTGTGTGTGTGTGTGTGTGTGTTCGTGTGTGTGTGTGTGTGTGCGCGCAGCTACGTAGAAAAAAAGGAAAGAACACCTTAGTTAAATAACTGAATTCCTAAATTTTCGCTTGAGGATGAAATAGGGCTTGCTACCTTAATTCAATTTAATTTTAATAATAATATTGAGGGTTTCGGCTCTCGTTTGAGAAGTCTTATGTAGCGAAGGAATCATATTTTTAAATATATGTTTTCGCAACTGACTGTAGTGGTTATTTTAGAAAATGTCTGTAGTGGTAGTTTTCGAAACTGACTGTAATGGTTATTTACGAATATCTTCGAATGGATAACTTTTGAAACAGACTGTAGTGGTTATTTTCGAAACTGACCATAGTAGTTATTTTAATATTGAGGGTTTCGGCTCTCGTTTTTGAAACATGAGAAGTCTTATGTAGCTAAGGAATCATTTTTTAAAATATATATATATATATATATATATATATATATATATATATATATATATATATATAAATATTACTCTACAAATAAAGAGAAAGAACAGTCAAATTAATAATTCACAGATCTTTAGGAAATTTTAAAAAGTCCTCGATACAAAGTTGTGCATAAAATTATAATATTTATATTTAAAAATATTTTTTCATCGCGACACAGAAATGTCTATGATTCGGAACCTTATTTTTTTTTGCGTTATCAAGCGATATTCAGTAACTTTTGGAAAAAATAATTACATTTACTTTTTAAAGAGGAGTTGTATTATATTGAACAGTTTAATAATAGCACACCTCTTTCAAAAGTAAATATTAAATTATTTCCTTCAAAAGTTACTGAATATCGCTTGAAAATGGAACAAATTTAAATTTCCGAAACAGAACTATTTTAAAATATCATATATATATATATATATATATATATATATATATATATATTAATAGATTTCGTCCGCCACTCTCATGCATATTACACATCACGCACCACACAAAGGCCAACAAGAAATATTTTTAACCCCTGTACAACAAGAACATAAAAAACAAACGTTTAGAAAATATTCATGAAACTCATACACAAAGGCTTCCACCTGTCAAGTACTCTCCACAAAATATTCAACAGAAACTCAGTAAAAATCGGTTAAAAAAACAAGCTACAGTTGCAGCGAGAACATGATGCATATAATAAAAATAAGTCACAGCCGAAAAATAAGGAACGAACCACACGCACAAAGGAAATCCACTTGTAACTGTAGGGCAAAATACGAATGCCTTCTAAATGGCAAGCCACAGTAATATCCTCCGATAACAAAGAATATAATACATCAGAATAATTGAAGAACCTTGGAAACAGAGAAATTAGGCGCATAAAATATACTTTACAAGTAGAATGATTCTTTTCCAACATATATAGGAATTTAAAAGCCAAAAACAAATTCCACCAAAAATATCATGGAAAATAAGGAACCTAGAATCAGCCTAAAAATATAAATGCCAAAACAGTAAATACTGGCTGTGCAAGGAAATAGATATAATCACCTTCCCAGACCAAAAGAAGTTAATAAATAAACGATCAAAATTTATCACATAATGCTGGCACGAAAGCAAATTTTTAATAGTTTAATTAAAATTCAAAAGATAATAAATAATACCTTGGTAATTTTACGCATGAAAAATGCAAATATATGAACTATATACAACTTAAATAACGTAATATTAAAAACCTGTAATTTAAACGAAAAAAATGAGATATTTCCTCCCGAAAATTAAACAAATATCTAAATATCAATAATCTAAATAATCAAACGTAAGTAAATAAAAAGCAAAATAGGAAACTAAATGTGGTAATAACAAGTAACAACAAATAAATAATAAAACAACCACAACGGTCAGTTTTTAAAAATAATCAGTATGTAAAACATCTATCTATCTATCTATCTATCTATCTATCTGTCTGTCTGTCTGTCTATCTTTCTATTTCAATCTGTCCTTATCTTGCTATCTTATTCAACACTCCAAGGTTTTTCATATCTATCTATCTATCTATCTATCTATCTATCTATCTATCTATCTATCTATAGAATGGTAGAGATTGATATCCATTCTACATTCACTCTTTACCATTCCAAGATATTTTTGTGTAATTTAGGTAAATATATCTCTTAAAATAAGATGGCAGTATTAATTTCATTTTTGTTAAGTGAGACGACAATTAATCCATTGCATCCTATATATATATATATATATATATATATATATATATATATATATATATATATATATATATATATGCATACATATATATATATATATATATATATATATATATATAAATAGATAGATAGATAGATAGATAGATAGATAGATAGATAGATAGATAGATAGATAGATAGAGTATCAAGGAATTCTGTATTCATTCATAAGCAACTCGACAAACCACTAAAACGCAAGGTATTACGAGAGTGAAAGAGTATGAGAAGACATTAGAAGGAACTGGAACCCAATCCTAAACAGAGGGCCTGTGATGTAACTTCTACGCTTGGTCGTAAGACTGGGAAATAGTGGGAAACACGCGATAAGCGAACATCTCTAACCTATTAAATATATGTATAGATAGATAGATAGATAGATAGATAGATAGATAGATAGATAGATAGATAGATAAGCATATGCGATAGTTAAATTACGTAAGAATACTTGATAAATTATATTAATACTTCGATATATAGCTGGAACTTTATATCTGTTTGAACACAAAAAATATTCGGATATAGGTGTTTGTGCGTATGCGTGCGTGTCTTTTCGCGAGCAGCCAATTTTTTGCTTGCATGCATCTAAGGGCTATTCAAATTTTGCAATACACTCAACATAAGACTCCAGGATGAACATGCGATAGTTTGCACTGACCTCTGTGGTTAATATAAATACCGACGGTTCAGTTTAAGAATAAGGCAAAAACAAAGGTCCTTTGGAGCCAAACTGCAAAAAGGTCATCTTTTTACCCGAAGTCTCATCATCTTGATCAATGCTCAGACGCAACATCCGCTTCACGTTTCATCTCATCTTTTGAATAATGCATAGATGTTTGACGAGATCATTAGCGCTGATGACACACGATGTTATCAAAGCAAACCGGTAAAGTGTCTTATCACATATGTGCGCCTCGGTCGAAAAAAAGTATGCATATATCGCTGGCATTTTAAGAACATCCATGTGCGTGTCTTTAATTATATGAAGAGAATTTCCTACAAAGCCTTAGCACGAAGATACACTGTCCACATATTCATTTGATAATTTTGGACGGTTTCCGAGAATGTGATCGGTGTAAAAGAACAGAGCTTTGAACTGACAAGGGTAATATTCACATTAACAATAGTCCTACACATGGTGGAAGTTTCTCACTATGTGACCCATTAACAAAATGGGACATCTATCTTATTTACCAAAAGATTAAAAGATAACATAAAGTACAAATGTTGCTGGATGATATACTTAACACACACACACACACACACACACACACACATTCACGTGACTAGTTTGAAATGTAATTTCTTTGAGTAGGAGTCGCTTCGTTTTAATGTAGATGTCCTCCAGTATTTGAAGGTTCTTTTTACTGTGTGTATGTGTCAGTATTATTGTACTATCAACTAATATATGTTTAATATTAGGCAGATATTAGTAGATATGTACATGTACATAAAATGAGGAGAGGAGATCCTTTTGAAAATAAGTAGACAGCAGTTTTCTAAATTTTTCAATGAAACATTTCTCAATGAAAGCATGCTACCAAAATACGCAATATATATATATATATATATATATATACGATGAAACAGACTGTCACCTCTCGGTGTTGACTTCAATGTCCACTTTTATATTTATATAGGATCTATCACTGATACTGAGTATTTTTTATATATATATATATATATATATATATATATATATATATATATATATACCATCCCTGAAAATTATATTTTATCATATATTTGTATTTTCTGTTAAACTGTTAGCATATAACTTACATAGAGCTTAGCAATGTCAATTTTAAAATTTTATACTACGTTTAAATTCGTAAAGTCAAGCTAAGAGGAGAGATCAAAACAATTAACCTGGAAATATCTAAAGGAACTGCACATGCAAACACTGTTACAGCGTTGGGAAAGTGACTGAAAGTCAGATGCCATGACAGGACCGATAAATTTGCAGATTCTTCTTTGAAATTTTACAAGTTTGTCTAAATACATAGAGGAAGTAGCAATCTCACGCACGCACACACTCACAGACACACACATATATGTATATATATATGTGTGTATGTGTTTGTGTGTGTGTGTGTGTGTGTGTGTGCATGTGTGTAGAGTGTCTTCCATTGAAAATATATATACAGTGTCATCCATTGAAATTGAAACTATTCAATGTAGCGTTGTGTTCCATAAGTTTTATGATTACTTCTAGGTGGGTGTCCTTGCTTTGTTTTTTGTTAAGTGTTTCTTAAAAGGCGGTTATTCCCTCGTTGTGTTTGTGTTGAAATAAAGAGATCTAACGTACATGGTTACTGTGAATTTTACACGGCCCGTCAAAAATGTGTAAATTTCTTTTCATTTTCATTTCAACCTTTGGAAGTAAAGTCTGATGATCCAGAGCCCTTTAAAAGGGCTGTGGTGAAATAATTTATTACATGGAACCTTAAAATGGTCTGTTTTTTATTCAAATATATATATATATATATATATATATATATATATACACACGTGTGGGGAAGTGACAGTTATATAATATTGGTTAAATATTATTTTCTTTTCTTTAACAACACTTTATATGTTGTTTATTTATTACCTATGATCATACGAAGACTTTATGAAGTGAATGCCGTAAAATCACACCTGGAGAAAATCAAATTTCATCTCAGGCACCGCCTAGCAGAGTACCCCATGCAGAATGAAAATGCGTCATTCTGTGCGGCTCGAATTGGTAAAAAGCCAACACAATCTAAAACACATTTGCTAGGCACAAATTTACTTTATAGATATTTATTAGACATAAATAATGCCATTTTTTCAACATATATCAAACTTGATTTCGTTCCTTGGTGGAGAAATTAAATTCTATCATATTTTTGGAATTAAAATGAGTCACGTCAGTATTTGCGGTGACATTGGTAGATTTTCGCCCGAGAAACGTCCACTAACGTCTAGCGATTGTTTTAATGATTAATAATCAACACGTTTTATCTGACGGTTTTAAACATGTCGGCAATGTTTTATGCAAAAACTATTGGACTGGTGCATAATTATCAGGCGTTTTGTAGACGTGTTATTTGTTAATAAAAATTTCTGTTTTGTATATATATATTTTTTTAATAAAAATATTTTATTTTCAGAATATAAAAATGCGTGTCGATAATCATGCTCATTTAAAAATGTTATTGTTAAAATGGTACGTTTCTTTTTTCCATAATAAATATTGTTTAAAAACGCCTGATAATTATGCACCAGCCCAATAGTAAACTATTCGTAAATAATACAAGAAGTATAAAGTATGTATTATTTCAGAAACCATCAAATCTGTCACTTGAAAATTAATACATCGATCTCGTTTTAATATACCATGAATTGATCAGTGGCAATGTCATAAATCTTACTATCCATATGAAGACATCATTTTCTATAATCCACTTATGTTCATAGAATCGACAGTTAATCCGGAGAATATTCGAAAATATTGACTAATAATTCTTTTCTTAGTATAATAAACATCTGTTTATAAATTATCCATATTAAATGTAAATCTGTCTATATTTCTGAGATGAGGTATTATGTACATTAATTACATTATTCGGACTATTGTCCTCATCTTTGTCGCCATATATATTACAACGTTTCGGCCATTGTACGCTCCGGCCTTCTTTAGGTGGTTGGAATGTCGAACTGAACCCTTTATTTCGCTCACTGGGGTAGACTGTTCTAGTTCCACGTGCTATGTTTGATGGATGTCAGTTTTCAGTTATCTCCTGTTAATTTCCCTCTGAAAGTTCTCCACTGCCTTAACCAGGTATTGAACTCACACTATGTGGGTCCTGTCACTGGATCTAACCAACGTCTGTATCCCCTGTGCCATGTGTCCTTAGATCTAGATATATATTAGTGTGTGTGCGTGTGTGTGTACAGCGTTCGTGTAAAATTTCAGATATAAATAAAAATATTCAGATATAGATATACCTTTAGAAAGAGAGTTGTGTGCATTTCAACATTTTGTGCTTTCATTCTTAAGGAAATCAAATGACTGTGTAATGTTTCTATTAACTTTCTTTCAACTCTCATATAATTTAAATAATCTCTCTCTTTGTCTTTCTATGACGATTGTTATTCTCCACAGCTTCCTCACCCTTGTGTCTCTCAGCAATGTATTTCTCCATTATAAACTTACTAAATACGTTATTTGTGCTTCCCCTGATTCTCGTTACATATGGTGAGTATTACATTTTCCGAGTGTACTGTCCTCATCATTCCACCAACTATGTATTTTTTTTTACTGATTATTATTATTAAATATTGCTTTATAGTTCTTATCTCCACAGAATTTCCTCAACTGTCGTATGCTCTATCTGTGATATTCTTAACATTCGTTTATATTAACACATTTCAATTGCCGCAAACTCTTTCCTTTTGTAACTAGCTTTCATAGTTTCGGAGTAGGTTAGACATTGCATACCATCAAGCATTCTTTTCATCGTTTACATTCTTAGTTTCCAGTACTCTGTTCTTAACATTTCACCTCAAACAAGGGGATAAAGCCACTAAGACGCAAGATATGGGAGCGAGAGAAAATAAGACATCGTTATTACGGTGAAAGGACAATAAGAAGCAGGATTTAAAAAAAAACAAAAAGATTGATATAACATTCAAATTATAGGTTGTTTTTTTTTTTTTTTGGTTTTGGTTTTTTCAAAATATCGTAAAATAGCGACACCAAGTCCGTTTTCTAATGTAATATTCATCTCCAAAGTTAAACACGTAAAAATTGATATATAGAGACTGTGACGGAGATAGATAGATAGATAGATAGATAGATAAACTTGGTTCTCTCCGACTTGTTCAGACGCTATTCTCCACAGAAATCAATTCAATACCAGAGGAATACGTCCGATTGTAACAGATGTCTCTTTGTTACCACTCGTAATGATCGTAAGCTTCTCTTCAAAGAGGCAAATGCAACACTAGCTTTTTCAATATCGCAAAATAGCAACTAAGATTTCGTTTTCTTATCGTAGCATTCGTCTCCAAAGATATACTCGTAAAAATGATATATGGAGACGGAGATAGATAGATAGATAGATAGATAGATAGATAGATAGATAGATAGATAGATAGATAGATAGATTCATACATACATACATACATAAAACATTACATGTAGAAATAAGGATTTTAAATGTATATTGAAAGACTAAAAGAAAAAATAAATTGAATTACTTTTAAACTCTTCCAATAGAGACATACATAAATTAACATAGACAAATATACTTACAAATATATATAGGTTGATATAGATAGATAGATATTATAATATTAAAACCTTAA